GTTGACGGTAAAGTCGCTTTCACATCTGACACAACAACTGGAACTTGGCACGTTGCAATCGTCGGTTCGTCCTGCACAAATGTGCCTTGTCGTTCGAGTGAATGTTGTATCCTTCGCGCTACCGCTATTGTGGGTCTGCAATTTCTTCGGCGTTGTTAACCGCGTTCCAGTTGCATCGGAAGTATTTACATTGGTGTCGCGTTTGCGGCACGCATTTGGCAGCGCTGTTGCGGTTGGAGTCAAAGTTTTATGGGTGGCAACACGCGTTTGTGGCGACATGTTGCGTTGATATTGTATGCTATAGGGTGAAATGTAAGCTGGTTTCTTACGACCACGCACCGCTTTCTGCTTATCATCTGGCACATCTTCGGTCCCAGCTAGCTCAATTGGATTGGCAATACGTGCGCGTGCCAGCGGCTTAGCCACCGACTGCTCCTCCGATTCACTATCATCAGAAGTGTACTCCTCGCTCTGGTCATCATAATTTTCAGCGATGCCATATGCTTCATGTTGGTCATGACAAGACTCGGTTTCGGAATTTTGATCGCATTCAATACTAGTACAATCACCACCATCTGGAGCACCTCTCACCTCTGCCGCTTCTGATTCTGTCGCGCCGTTGGATGTGCTAATAGGCATATTTATGAATTTAAACTTTTGCGTTATTGCGCGTAGTGAAGAAATATTTTCCGAGGGGCTGTCGTCGGTGGAAGTTAGAGAATACGGTCCGGCCGATTCTTCCGCGATGCGACGAATTCCCCATCCATCCTTCAGGTCAACTGGGTTTTGACGTGCAAGGATGGGGTGCTTAATTGCGTGAATGGTATCCGTGACATATTTCTAACGGAAGCTGAAAGTAGAAGGTGAAAAATATTCAATTAAAATATTGTTGACAAAAATACACTACTTACCGTCTCGTGTCATTCAGGAAATGCTTGACTTAGGCTGCAATTCGATGAATGAAATGTCAACAATGATCGTAAATTTACGCTATGTGAAAGCAACACCGCCTCAGTGTGGCACAGGGTATCACAAAAAAAAAAAAAATAAATAAATAAAAATAAAAAAAAATCAAGACTCCTCCACTTCAACAACCACGACTGAAAACGGAAAGGTCGCGCTATATGCAAAGTAAAGTTTATTTTATAAAAAGCATGATTGTTGTATTTTATTCGGAAAACCTCAATTCGAGCTCATCCCCATTGAAAGAACGCATTAAGTGTTGTTTTCGAAACCTCGATAACTTTATTGAAACTTTGTTAACTAATTTGTAAATTTGTGTCATTTCTTCGCTCTCTAAAAGGACTATGGATTCGGGTTCACAAAGAATCCTGTACAATATATATATATATATATATATATATATATATATATATATACATATATATATACACTTATTTTAATGCGACTTTGTACGATAGCGCCCCCACGCAACTGATGAGCTTTGCTTCTAAATTGTTTTTGTTACATATGTTCGGCACCGAATATCGAAAGTCCCGGATACCTTTAAAATCGGTACCGAGTAGGTATGAGTACTCATATGTGTTGACTCATCAAATCTCGAATGTAAGAACGTAAGTTCAATTTACGCTCTTGGTTGACAGCGCAGCCAGGGTTAGGACTCCCCTACGATCGGTAAACTGAAAATCTACTACGCAACTCGATACCGGCGAACTCCTTAGATTTGCTCGGGACAAAGCAAAGCTTATTAAATATGCATTTCCTTTTAATAAAATCATGAGTTAATCAATTTTGAAGTGCCCTCCAACTTAGGAATATCAAAATAAATCATTAAGTTGTGATACTACCAAGCACATTCATAAGCACTAGCGGTTGAACCGATTCAGCGAAGTCCCGCACCATGCGAACAAATAATGAAATGGTTTATTCTTTCGGGTGGGAGGCCAAGGTAAACACACTATAGTCATTCTCTCACCTAGTGTACGATATAAGCGAATTATTATTCAGCCACTATACACTGCAGGGCATGGAATTAGTCCTCAAAAAATAAAAAAATAAAAATAATAATAATAAAGTAAAATAAAAATAGTAATAAGAAATGTAAATCATTAGCAACTAAATATGCGTATGTATATATGTATAACTTGCCACCCAGCTAAGGTTTTAAAATACACAATGAACCATAATTGTGCATACGGCGATAAAAAGGGGGTTTAACTTTACAGAATGCCTCGCTTCACGGCCACCCGCACTAAGACCGAAAAACGTGTCGATCATTTTAAGATTCCTTGTCGGTTGTGCGGTAACAACCACGGAGTACGACTCTGCCCCATATACCGAGGGAAATCCGCAGAGGAAAGGTTGCGGGCGATTTTGATACATCGGTACTGTCCCAACTGTTTGTCGCCATTCCATCGGATAGAAATATGTGGAAGCAATGACCGATGCCACCGCTGCGACGAAAAGCACCATACCTCCCTGCATATTGAAGACTACGGCGATCCAAGGGAAACGACGGAAAATCACCCCGATAACGACGGCGGCTCTGACGGAGCGATTTCGCTCTACGTTTCCGACCAAACGACGTCATGGGCGAAGCAGGTAGAGGTGGAAAGACGGGAAGAGATAATCCCTTCACCACCAGACGGCGGCTTGAAAACCCGCAAGATTCGACCGCCGCTACAGCACGAACTTGAAGCAGATAGTCCCATGCCAGCAGTGCTCACACACACACAGCCAACGGGCGGTCAACGAAATGACGCGGAAACTAGTCCTTTTCGCTCATATCGGCGCGGAACCAATTCTGGCCACCGAGATGACGCGGAAACTCGTCCTTTTCGCTCATTTTGGCGCAAGCGTAATTGCAGCCAGCGTGATGGCGCGGAAACTCGTCCTCTTCGCTCGTCGCGTTGGCAAGCAATAAGGGCCGCACGACACCGACGTGGCGACCGTTCCTCCCTCACCATCCAACGCATTCCATCGGGTGGATTCCGGACAGGCAAGTTAAAAACAATCGCGGTTCCAGCACCAATAATGCGCTCATTCGTAGCCATCGCCCCAACCGCAATTGTACGGATCGAGTCAGGCGGCCGACTTCATCTGGTGCGGGCGTTGATTGACTCTTGCGCCCCCAGCAGTACCATCGACAGGGACCTAGCACGGGAGCTTCAGCTCGAAGTCAGCAACGCCCGCGCGAAAACATGTTCCCTCGTGCTGCGAGGAAAGTACGGGGTCGCGGAACGAGTAATTACTCAGGCCAGGCTAGTTACGCGATACAACCGACTCAGCCCCGCGGCTAACATCGACCCAACGATAGCGACGCCGTTTCAATTTATGCGTCTGGCGGATCCACAGTTCTATCGGGCCACCCCCACTCGACTAACACTTGGCGCTGATGTGTACGCCCAGGTCATGGTATGTGGCACTCCGCCAACAACGATCGGCGGTTTACTGGCGCAAGCTTCCATGTTCGGGCTGATTATATCAGGAGCTCACCAAATGTGACAAAACAGTTAAAATTTTATATTTAGTATTCATGAATACATACCGAATTTAAATAAAAGTGCAATGAAATGATCAACCACACCTTTTTTTCCTTATTAGCTTTTTCTTCCATTTTTCCCCGTAGCTAGAGATTGCAAGGAGGACCGGAGAACGTGCGGACTAGATCCCCGGGCAAGGACCAATCTGCGGCAGAATTCACAAAGTTAAAGAACATAATTTACAATGTAAATAAATGTAAATGTAAGGTGTGGTGGCTGAACCATCTTTGAAACGTTGCTTATAGCAAGGGGGCCGGTATGTTTAGGCCTCCACGCTAAATCAAATACTTAAAGTAAATTATCGGGTGTACCACCCTAATGTTAATTTAACAGATGCACACACATACACATTCGTATGTGAAACAAGACAAAAAGAAAAACTGCACTTTTCCTGTCAGTGCACTTTCGTTAAATTTCCCCTGAAAACGGAACTCTTCAAACCGTTTAGAGGGTTCGACTTCAGTTTCTAACTTTTTAAACTTTCTATTGGATTTCAATCACCAGCGATTACGGACGTTCCGCCACCACACCACTTCATAATCAAGGTAATATTGTAAGCCCCCTTGAATTTTAATATACCTATTAAATAAACCGTCAAACTTAATTGTATTTCAAACTAAAACCTGGTGCTTTTGTTTTCTTATTTTTCCAATAAAAAACACTGGTGCACTTATCGAGTCTATACCCATTAAGTCGCCAGGGTTTTTCATGGTCCTTCGAGCCAGGAACTATAATTAACCAGAGCAAAGCAAATACAGTCCACTGCAGCTAAACAAAGGCGCCATTCTTTGAATATACCAGCGGTCAAGGGTCACTAGCGGTCTCCAGATTATTACATCTGCGCATACAACCGTCCGCCAGCATCAACTGGAGAATTGCCACAAACACCAGCGTGAAGTTACAATAAGTCGGGAACGTACCACATCAGTAGACAACACCCAAATTAAGCACCAGCACCACATTAAAAAACATTCAGGAGTTTTAAAGGTATGTGGTTGACATTTCAAATTTCTTGCACATTCTCGTATACGTAATACGGCAAATATTTAAAATACCAAAAACCTGCGCATATCCAAAATTATCGCGAGTGATCTTGTGGAAATCATCAGTGCATTGATATCACTTTTTGTGTTCTTTCGCACTTAATTAGTAAATAACGTTGTGAACAAATATCTGCAGCAATACACAAGTGTGGGTTAGAGTAGATTTTTCTGTGCTTAACACCACCTCAGTTGTTAGTGTAACCTTAATTTATAGCGAGCACACTTTTTACAAGTTTTTTTTTTTGTTTTTTTTATTATATTTAGTTTCGTGTTTTCAAAATCACTTATTCAAATTTGCAAAACATCGATTTTATTATTTTTCACATCGAGTTTGCTTTCAATATTTTCAAACAATCGTGTTGCAAGCATTTGTTAATTGGTCAAATCATCGGCACTAACAACAATTCACTGAGTTGAGGATACATAACCTCACTTGTGACTGCACTTGTTACACACATTTGGTTTCACATTGGGACACTTTTTAACTTCTGCAATTCTGCATCCACAAGATCACTTTGAACGATTAATCAACAAAAATAATATCTGCGTAGCACAGTTGAATTATTTCACATTTATACACAAATATTTCGCTGAGAGTTGGGTGGCGAGTATCAGTTCCTGTAATCTTAGAAGTTTTTCATTAGTGTACGCGAGTATACATAAATACATATATTTACATACATATATTACGCTTGATATTTAATAAATAATTTGATATCCGTGCGAAATTGCACCTAAATTGCGGTGTTAACTTATTTGATTGTGGTGGTTTATTCGCTTAAAACTTTGGGAAAGTTATAATTTTCGAAGTGCTCTCGTAACTTATTTTCATTAGGATCTTAAAAA